TCCACTGATTTAACTTAATGGGTTCATTCCCACCCCATGGACTGATCACACTCCTGTGATAGCTCTGGGAGAAGCTGGGACAGGGCACTTATTTCTCTGTTAGGTTATTGAGGATCCCCTGCCTTTCACTGTTCCTATGTGCTCCTTTAAGCATAGGGAGAGGACCCTTTTATCAAGAAGTTTTTATCACTCATATAAACAAATATATTTATTTATTCATTGTGCCAATCATTTGGAGACAAAATAGGGTGAAACCTTTGGGAAGCCCTAAATACAACAGAATGTCTTCCAAAACTAAACAGCAATTGTGGTGAAGTAAATAATATATCAGTAGCTAATGGCATATGCAACTGCAGTAAGTACTCCTTTCTTAAAAAATGAGTTGATGAAACAAGTAAAAAAACAAACAAAAATAGCCTAAAAATTCCTACTTGGTCATAACTACCCAACACCAATGTTGATGTTGTTTTTTAAAAGAAAATGTCTTAAAGATTTCCTATGACTTAATACAAAAAAACAAGCTACAGAATTATAGAGTATGCCTCCTAATATAAGAGAATATATACAAAGCCAATCTTTATGAGAGAAATTAGTCAAATTTTTTCTTGTATAAAGCTATAATGTCAATCCTGCAATGAATGATCCTGTGTTACTTCTGTAATGTTACTTCTCAAATGCAATTAATTTTAGGAAAGCTATTTGGAATCAATGGGTATGTGTTTAGAAAGTTCCATGAAGTATAATGTAATTTAACTGCTTGCTCTGTCAGAGCAAAATGCTGACACTATCAGAATATCAAAGTTGTCATCTGCAAGGAGGAATTCTCACACTCCAACCAGGAGTTATGTACCATCTGTGAAACAGAGAAATGACAGCCAAATGCTGTAGGATATGGAAGTACACAGCTTTTTGCAAGGTAACACAGTTTTTAAGCTTTATGAATGATTGTATATTTTTCTCTTCCCCAGCCCCTTTCTTTTGTTAAAGCTCTAAGGAAACTGCTGGGATTAGCATGTTGCACTACTACTGATGTCAGAAAATGCAGACATCAAGAAATTAAAATTAAAAAAGGTCCAACTTTGCATATGAAATCCAGTTAAATTACTATCTACAACTTTCCTAGAGATACAATATAATATCTACTCTTCCACAGCTTAAGAAGTTCATTCTCCAAACACTCACTATTAAGTCTAGAACTTGGGTCTAACTGCCACTGCCATCAAACCAGCTACTTGTGATGCAGCACAGCGTGACTTTTAATGCTTATCTACATTCTCCTGCTTGCTTTTCTTCATAGACATTAAGAAGTGAGCTTATTTTTTCCAAAGTTATACCAAGGCATACACTGAAATTCCCAGAGACCCTGCTTTACAAGAACGCCATTCCTTTTCTTTGCAGCTCTAATTAGCTTTGAATATAAACAGTGTTAGCTGCAGCATGAATAGTCTCTCCTGTCCTACTGGCCTCCAAGCAGCAGATCTGGAACAGGTTTAACACAGGGCATGGTGCAAACCTGGGAACAGGGATGTCCCTAGCACAGGAACTACACAGGAATCTGTTATGGAAGGAAATGAATCAAATGGAGCTGCTGAGACTGACCAGAAGGATAAACCCCTGTCTGCTCCCCCTTTACAAACAGGCTGCACATCCAGCCAGGTCTCATTCACGTTCTGCATGCCTACAACAGGGTATTCCTCTACCCTGGGCCTTCCAAGCATGTAACAAAGTTTTTGGCATGCAGGAGAGCACCAGGAAAGAACTGTGAAGAAAATGTTTGCTAGGATTTTTAACTCATGTGAATCGCACCCAATCAAAAAAGTTAATTTCACTTTTTTTTCCCCCTGAAATAAAATGACAATTATTTAAACCTTTTTCTAAACCTTTTAGTATATACTAAACTGCATATAATAAACCAAAAGAGAGTGGTATTTTTCACTCTGAAGATTCCCTCCGGGGAAGGTATATTCTCCTCCACTTCAAAGGCAAGCCAATTTGAGCAATCAATATATTATTTTCAAAAGCCCAAGACAACAACCAGCTAGTAGAAAAAATAGGGGGAAAATGAAATGTCTGACCTCACTACCTTTTTTCTTCCGTATTCCCTTTTGCCAAAGAGATACTCTTAATGCAAAGAGGTTTTACCAAAGCAGAAGAATTATTGTCTCTATGTCTTGAATTTCTGGAAGATACTTAGAAAGACTGTCCAGCGACTCTGCAGGCTTGAGAGCTTGTTGTAAAATAAATGCAATCACTTACAGACAGAACACATCATTCCTCTGGAACATATTTAATGAGTTCTACAAAATGAACTCTGCTTGTGTTTACAGCTGTAGACATTTAGAACTCCATCAAAGTAAAACCAATATTCCACATAAAATTGATCTCAGTGCCCTAGCAAGAGCTGTTTCATTAACAAGTTATCACTTGCTCTCACCTGTCTTGACTGCAGCCCATCATGCATTCTTAAATTCTATGCTTCACAAACTTTTAAGATCAGAAAGGTTACCCTAAAATGTTAACTTAAATTCTCAGTGATAAACTGTAATTACATACATGTGTAGATTTTTAAAGAAATAAAATTACTGTATTTCTTTATGTAGCTTTGAGAAAAAGGAAAAATCCATTATTTCATCCAGTATGTAGTTCAAAAGTAATGCTCTCAAAATCAAATCCTCAAAAAACTCTTGCAGAGCTATAAACACTGAGAAATGTGATCTTAATGAAAACTTCTGTGCAATTGTGTTTCCTTTTATAAAGCTAACCCCCTCCCTCCCCCATATATAAATGTTTTCTGTTTTCAAACCAGTCTTCCCTCAAGTTTCCATTCAGGCTTTTTTTTGGTGTAAAAATCATGTCTAGAAAACTTTGCACAGACATGCTCATTCTTGGTGAAATCAGTATGTCCAAATACTAGAGCTATATTAAATAAATTCAGCCTAATGCCTCCTTTTTATGCATTAAAACCAATACCAACAAAATCATTTCAATTGCTTACAAGAACTTCTTCACTTCTGAGTCATGAGGGTGTTTAAACTCCCATTAGGTCCTGTAAAAGCATGCTGTCTTCTTTCTATCTGAGAAGCATTCTGCCTAAGAAGTATTTGCTCTCTTCATAATGCATATGAAGACAGTCTGAATCTTTTGGCTACTTCCCCTCTCTACATCTTCTCCCTCTTTCCTTAATGATTAACATTAAGGTTTAGAAAATTTCAAAGTTTGAACAACATTTAGTTTGAGACAGAATGTGATTTACATTCAGACTTTAACTCAAATGCCCAAGAAACACTAGGAAGAATTGATTGATTCATTTTCCCACTCAGTCAACTCTCTTTAGTTGGAGGTGAAATGTGTTTTAAACACCATCTAAAACTTCTAAGAAGCTCTACAAAAAACTGAAGACCACACTGGATATTCCCTATATTTTTCAACTTAAATCTGAAACCTGAATTTCAAGTTTCTGCTGTATATAATGAGTCAACAAACAAGCCATGGGCCTTTTTTCTTCCTTATGGACAACTCTGCACTAAAGCAAAGTTTTCCACATAGTTATCATCAGACTTTCCTCCCCTACCATATAATTTTTATTTGACTTTTGACCACAACAAAAATACTTACCTCTGAGATGCAAATCAGCTTTAAAGTGCAAACTTAGGACCATGCAGTACAGTCACAATGAAGATGCTGACTCCCTTGACCCTGAATTGAGAGCTGAAGTTCAGCTCATGGACACCTTTACTGTTTCCTCTCCACAGGCAGAATTTTACTGTCCTATTTTAATCCAGGCAGGTCAACTATGTGATCTGTGAAGCTGTATCACACAGTGCTTTTGAAACTCTTTTTATCTTTACAAACTTTCAGGACTGAGCACTGAATTCAAAAAATGTTCGTTTGTACAGGCATCACTCAGTTACTTCACATTTGCAGAGAGAATTTCTATCTCATTTCTATACCAGTTACACAAGGAATTACACAGTAATTTTTAATACAATTTTAAAATCAGCAATTCACAGAATTTCGGAGATTTAAGAATTTGTATTATAATCTTACATAAATTATTTAGCCTCTGAACTTCTCACACACACTGTATTCCCCTCCTATTAAGAGAAGGGATGCTTTAACAAGCTTTCCTCTTTTTATTAGATCTCACACTATTCTCCTTTCCTTTCCTCTAGGTCTTTCCTTGCTTCCCTTTGATTCCGTCTCTCCCTCCTCTCCTCTTTCAGTGGCTCTCAGAAATGCAAGAGATGAACATTCATCACAAAGCAGTACAGTTCACTGAGCACAAGTAGCTGCAAGGATATTCTTGGAACAAACAAGGGGACTGTTTACAGTACCTCTGCCCTTCTCTAACTCTCTTCCACAGCTCCCATCTTATCTCCTGCTCTCATCGCCCTCCCTTCTATCATGTATTCTTTCTTCTACCATTTTCTTGGCACCTCTTTTCCCCTGCCTACCTTTTCCCTACCTTGCCTCCAGTGCTTTCTCCCTCCTCTCTGCTGGCTAAATGTGAACTGCCTCTTCTTGTTAATGCAGAACATCCTCTCCTATCTATTATTTGAGGCAAGTTTTTCAGAGGTGAGACAAAAACTCTTGATTTCAGCCCATTGGGTGCTGTCTTCTCGAACGGTATAAACGTCCAGAGATTGTTTCACAAAGCAAACATGGCGCAAGAACAGAAACACGAGAATCAAATACACACAAAGCATAAACAAGGAGCTTATTCCTGGATTAAAAAAAATCTATTCTTTGAGGCAGTCACTTCTGAGATAGATAGTAGTAATGCTCACTAATGATCCTTCATAAGAGGGTTTGCCTCTCCCACCAGAAACAATACTAATAACTTTTTAAATCCTAAGAGATAGTGATCAACCATCAAACAGAAAGACATGTGCTCAATGCTCATCTGAACTAGGATATAAGCATACTGGAGAGCACACTTTTTTTTTTTTTTAACCTCTACAGAAAACACTTTAAAGTTGATGTGAAACATCTGTTCTTACCTTCTAATGAGGTGACTAGATGAAAGAAGAAGACCATCCAGAGCCAACCCATTCCCGACACTCTTCTTGCACTGATGCCAGCATTAGAATCCATGAAGATTCTCTGTAAATACCACCATCTTCAACAAGCACACACCACTCTCTTGAAATAGTCTATTTGTTGGAATGTTTTAATACCTTTCGAAATTAAAGCACAGAGGTCTTTGCAGAGAAATGCTGTTTAGGAAAAAACAGAAGGTAGAAACAGAAATCAGGTCACTGTAACACAAAACTGACAGTTTTTATACACCCATTCCATCATTTACTCCTTCCAAGATATGGGTTAAAAAGGAGTAGCACAGACCCAGTATTTTCCATATACTCATCCCTCAAGACTTCAGTCAGTCACAGGTGTTTTTTGCACTGCCAGTACACACAGATTTTGAGACTTTCATGGCATCAGGGACGGTATGGTTCCCAAATCAACATTAATCTCTACCACAGTATAGGCTGTACTATTACTGAAGTCCTGATCCTTTCTGCATCTTTGGCAATGTTTCTTGGAAGGTGTCCATTCCATTTCCCCTGTATGCTTTTCAAATTCTGTCTCCTGCAGTTTACACTTTGCCTTTTAAGGACTCTGCAGGGCAGTAGCCATGACAGGAGAGTTTTTGCCAACACAAATCTGCACAGCTGACACACTTGTACTGCATTTCACATGCAGGCATTTGTCCCTTTAAGCATATGACTGCACAACACTACTAAGTTGGACAGTATTTTTCCCATTGATATGTTGTACATGAGGAAGCAAACGCTGTGATATTTAAGGTCAAGCAGGAAGCCTGCATTACAGCCAGAAAAAGCACACAAGTCCAAGTTTATTATCTTAAGTGGGAAAAAAATCAAAATAAAACTCTACCACCACCATTAAGAACCTGACATAAAAGCTTATCTTACAGTAAGGGAGCAGCATGTAGCCTAATCCAGCACTGCATTAGATCAATACAGCATAACAATTTTGCTAAGCAAGGTAATTCTAGCTCCATCTGTCCAATTCTCAGCCCAACAGAGAAATATCACAGTAATATGTAGGTTGCATGCAAAAAGCCAGTATGTTTTTTTTCTTCAGGTGCTCTTTGAGCAGAGCATTGAAAATGCTCCAATGTCTTCAGTGAGACAGTGAAGCGTAGCTAAGGAGAAAGAAAAATGTCTCAGGCAATATACAGAAATGGCTCAATAACTTGGCTGAAAGAGGGGAGGAGGGGGGAAGAGTTGTAATTAAAAGGGGCAGCCTCAGTGCAATTATCTGAAAACCTTGCAGTAGGGGATTTCAGCAAGTTGGGCATAGCAGAGGAAAAAGCAGCCTGGGGAATATGAGAAAAGGCAGCAGAGCGCAATTAGATTTGCTTTACTGAGAGGGAGAGAAATTTGGGCAGGATGGAACAGCTCTCTCTTCTGCTGCTCCCAGTGAGAACCTAGAGCACCCAAGACAGATGAACCAAAGGTACTCTGGGCATCACCAAAATGTAGGGAAACTAAAGGAATCTCAGCAAGAGGCAAAAGTTTTGGTCCATGACTTCTGAGGAAAGAGAAAAATAAAATCATTAACTATTACTGAGAAAAGATTAAATGTGAGGATGGATACAGGCACTGCTTATTACTTATGAAGCATGTATACAACACAACACATCACAGTATTAAAACACCACTGGATGCAACTGCAAAGAGGAGAAAATTTCAGGGTGAAAAGTCAGAAAGTCCTTCTTTACAGAAACAACTACCCAAGCACACAACAGCAGTTGCCTGGAAAAGGAGTAAAGATGCTGCCTGAGCCACCAAAACTAAGACTGGGCACACCAAAATCAAGCCTGCAGGACACCTCTACATGGAGACATAAATGCTCACCATTTGTATTGGCAAGCTATTATATTATAATATCTGTAAGTTTTTTATTGAACCAGTGAAATCCTAAGAGATGGGGACTTATAAGGATTCATAATGAAGGCAAGCAAATGCAGGAACAGAGGTCAAACAAACTGAAGAACACTTTCATTTCAGTCAAGGGACCTCATTTATCTGCAGAAGGCTTGAAAACAGCTCGCAATTCAGATATTCTCATGTCACATAATGTCGGAGTCACAGGGCAGAAAACAGAACCCAAATACACTTTGGCTGCTGGATCTCCCACCAAAGCATTGAAATTACCACAAAACAGATATAACTAAAAAATCCCTCATACACAAAACCAGACACAAAACAATTTCTGGCTCCAAGGAAACCAATTGTTCTTCTGCTGCCCTCCTCACCTGCACATCTCTCTTACAACATCTCTTTGTCTTATCCTGGTTTCCTCTGTATCCCACCAAAGTTACACTGCTCTTCAAGAGGAATCATGCAGCCTTTGTCTGGATTAGGCTGGCAATTATTTTTCTCAAAATAAACTGTGGCTAAATCAAAAAGCTGGTTGTGATTTAGCAGATAAAAAAGGTAACTTTTTTTTTTAGGTTTTGGGTTTTCAATTTTTTTTTTTCTGCCTCTTCCACACCTCAATGAAAAATGCTTACTCCACAATGATGGACAGAGAGAACATTATGGAAGCATTTAAGGGAGAGTAGGAGGGAAGCACTAGCCTCTGTGAATTAAAGAGTACCAAGCCCCTAAATTGCTAACCACGGCCCTGCCCTTCCCCCAAGCACTTGATGTGTACAGAATCTGACTACACCCAAAGACGCTCATCTTTCATTCTTTAGTTCTCCTACTACTTCTACCCTACACCAAACTACATAAACAGAAACCTCAAACCATCCTAACTTTCCAACCACCCTCTCCTCTTGTCCACACAAGCGCCTTTCCATGGCCACCTCAGCTAGTTACCTGCTCCAAAACTGCTTTCAGCAAGATTACTTCTCTTTGCTATGGAATCCACTATTCCCCACACTCCTCCAACTGCAAAGCAATACAAATCCAACTGCAAAGCAATACACGCTCTGTGGACAGGATCCTTTGAAGAACTTCCTTAAATACCCTTTCTCTTCCTCTCTCTCCTCCAAGTACATGAACTTGCCACTCATGTACGAGCTGTCAAACCTCTTATGATAACCTATTTTTAGGCATATATTTCCTTAGCTGGTAGAATGATTTCTATCTCCTTGGAAGTCCTGAAAATTTTAAACTGAGAAGTGACAGTTCCTGAGGACTAAAATGTCTTTCAATGATTCAACCCTATAAAACTGTGAAGATCCCAAGCAGCCAGAAAAGACCACTCATATTATTTTTACTGTAAATCCAAGCTCCAAGAGATGGGAGACGGAAGTTTCTGGGTTGTCTCCTTACATTACTCTCCAAAGCTATCATGACTGTTTACTTTGGCACCATCACTGTGGTACCCAGATTACCAAAATTTGTGTTTGAGTTCCCAGTTAAAGAGATAAATACAATCACCACCACTATTTCCAAGAATCCTGGTTTCTTAGCTGAACAACAAGCAAGGGAGTAGAGTTCCTTGGGAAGCTTGTCAAGGTGAGTTTTGAACATCACCAAGGATGGAGATTCCTCAACTTTTTGGGGCTTCCGTAGCAGCATTGAAATGGGAAATTTAATTTTTTTTTTTACTGGGGATTTTTTTCTTCCTTATATGTAGTCACAATCTCCTTTGATCTCTTTTGCTTCCTATCTCAACAGAAGAGAGTCAGCTCTTGCCAAGCACCTCAAAGCTTCTTCTATCCAAGACTGAAAACACAAGCCATTTCAGCTGGAAAGCCTTGAATGTGAAACAGCATTCCTGGCTTGACTGGCACTGTTTAAGTCCTGTTTATTCTCACCAGACAGGGCCGGTGCTGTAATTTCTCACTTTTTCTGAACTCAAATCTTGAAGTGGGAACACTTCAGAACTATCTCCAGGCAAATGATGCTCAGTAGTGATAGTGCTCCCACATGTGCTAAAACAGCTGACAGTAGTACAGTTCTGTGCTTGTGAGAGTTCTGTCACAGAGGGCGGCTGTCTGTCCATGCTGCACCCAAGCTGCAGCAAAGCACTTCATGCAGCCAGTAGCTTTGCAGCAGCTTCTTTATGTAAATAAAGGATTCCCTCAAAGTTCAAGCATTGTCAGTGATAGCACCTGAAGAGCCATAGGGCACCAGTGCTGCCAAACAGGTCAGCATTAATCGAGAATTCCCTTTCATCAGTGCATGTGTTTTTTTTAAGAAAGGAAGAAGGTTTGCTCCAAGGTTTGTGCAGTCACTTATTTGAGAGCACCCCAATGATATATGTCTGGAGTCTTGATGGAGGTGGTCATGCACCTGACAAACCTAAGAGGGGTCCCCTTAGAATGGACTGCTTTTTTATTCTTCTGGGGTTTGCACAGCACTCTGAGACTGATCAAAAACAGTGACAGCTAGATAAACTGTGTTAATTCTGCGCTGGCCGCAGGTTTTTCTGGACCTACGATTTGAACAAAACCCCTCCTTTTCTCAACCTCTTGACTCCAACCATAAAACTCTGGACAGACCTTCACTGAAGCACGTTCTAACTTACTACACAGACAACATGTAGTCTCAGATCAGAAAGTAAAGTACAGTGACCCTATTTCCCTCTGACAGACACCACCTGCAGAACCTGACATCAAATTTACCACTCATCAGAACCATGCATCTGTCTGGCTTCCACAGGAGGAATTCAGGCACGCATTTCAGATTAAGAAAAAATCTAGGATTGTTCAGGTACTGCACAAGCTTTCTGGAGAAAAGATGAGGGCCTGAATATAGCTGTTTCTTTGAGTTCTACACTTCAACACATAAGAAAATGCAGAAGCAGATGAATGTCCACCTAAGCCAAGTTTTCTCCGTGTCTCCAGTGCCAGGAAGAAGTGCTGTGTGCAGATGGCTTGCAAGCCTGACCTCTATGTGACCCACTTTCCTCCTCTTCCTCCGGTATCCACAAATGTAAGACAAAGATTACCAGAGAATATCTCCCAATTGATTCACTTTAGTATCTCCTTAGGAATTCATCCAAGCCCTGTTTTGAACTTCTAACAGATTTGGAAAGATGTCTATCTTCGTGCAACAAAGTATTTTTACGTATTTGATATTGTTCTACTAATGGAAGCTGAAGTCGTAACAGTGCCAAATTTTTTATGTTTTCAATTCTTCTTATCTGTTCCAAGAACTTTTCCAAATCATCTTGTTTCCTCCCACTGGAACAATGCTTCTTCCTCATTCATTGTTAACTGACTCCTCTA